CCAAACTTACATTGAGCAATACTCAAGCTAATGGTATTCTTAGTCTTTTAGTGTAGCTGCTGTGCAGCCTGCTGCTAAGAGAGAGTAAGTTTCTGAACCCACTTCTGTGCCTCTTGATATTCTGGTCTTGCACATTGCTCTACTGTACCTTACCCAGACTGAGAGCCTGACAGAGCGAGGCAGAGTGAGTTTCAGAGTAAAGCAGGGAGATGGAGCGAGTGAAAGGATGCAGAGATTGCTGCAAGGAGAGGATGCAACTATGATGTGACAGAGAAAGTGGGCAGAGGGTGTTGGATGTGAGGAGGGGGTTGGTGAAGCTATCTTGTAGGTGTTATCAGGTTAAGCCTCCCACGACTGCCTGTCGCCATGGTGACTCCATGGTTACAACCAGGTGTTCAGCCAAGAAGAAGCAAAAGCGTCTTTGTGTGAAAGGGCTTCTTCAGTGACTTTCTTTGTTCGTATGTCTGCCAGTGTGGGCAATAGTTCAGCCGCGACATTCAGCTGTTACTTAGCAGGAATCCTTCTACATCTCTGTAGTTGAAGCTTTTATCATAAACTACATTAGAGATTTATTTGTCATTGAATTTTTGATTCAACTGTTTCTAATGGCAAAGTAGCAAACTAATGAAGTATCCCGTACAAATCAAGAAACTTTACAATAATAAAATAATATTATAATCAACAAGCAAATCCAGAGAGAAATCACTTTGGAAAAGATGGGTTTGGAAAAAAATAGGGTGTCAATAGTGAGAATGTCTTTATGACTACAGTTAAATTTGTTGTTGGAAGATTTAGTTATGGACTTTGACTAGGCCATACCAACACATCATCATTCTTTGATTTAACCCCTTCCACTGTAGCTGCAGTTAAATATTGTTGAGCTGCTGGAAGGTGTCAGAAGGTGTCAGAGATGCATGTATTTAGCTCCATCGTCCACCCCTCCCAACTCTGATCATATAGCCTATCCTGTCCCTGTAACACGATGCTGCCTCTACCATGTTTGACATGAGGAAGCTATATTCTGAGCTATGTCTGGGCAATATGAGCAATATCAGGTTCTATTGTTGTGATAAAAGTGATGATTAATAAAACCCATTATTTCTTTGCACTCTTTCTTAGGTAATCGTATGGTTGGACTATCACAAATGATACTCTTGAAGAATATATATAGATTAAAATTCAGCTTCTTTAGTGAAACAGTTACATAAGGAAGTAGGCATCTTAAGTTACCCTCATCCAATCATATTCTTTAAATATGTCAATTCCCCAATGGAAAATAAATGATAGAAGAAAAAGAATTGTGAAAATTAGAAATTCTAATATTTCAATCAATTTCTGGTGTTTTTAATCATCATAGGTTGTAATTTATTATTTAGACGACAAATCAAATTTTCTTATGATGACCAGGCATTTATCATGATAACAATAAACGCCCGGATAAATGTCCACTGCTAACCAGAGCTGTGAATATCTAAAGTTTCTCCAAAGTTAATTTCATAGGCCTCCTGGCTGCTGATTTTATTGAAGCTCACTCAAGTCTTGTCACTTTAGGTCTCCATTTTTGGAGGTTTAGCAGTTGTGGTGAACACTTTTCCTTTTTGAAATAACATTGAAGCTTGGTAAACTGATCAATATCTCGCGCTGGTTTATGTTTTTCTTTACTTGAAACCTGAACTGTCTGACTGGTCCACTATCTTTAGAATTCTGTTCTTCAACTTTCTTAAAAAAAAAAAAACCTGAGAATCTATTTTCCATTAATAAAAATCCCATTAAGATAATTTGCTGTTCATAATGTGATAACATGTCAAAAGAAAAAATAGAGTTAAACGAGCATCAACACTTTTTTTTTTTTTTTTTTTACAGTGTCCTGTCTGGCAATGTGGCAAAAAGAATAATTGTCTTGATGCCAAAAGGAGCCCAACAGATTTTACTTTCACAAGTGTAGCAGTATGGCAGTTGCCATGCTCCACTTGTTTCATGCATATAAATTGCTTTATTATAATTATGCAGGGAGTTTTACAGTTTATATGGACACTGCTATGTAAATAGTGCAGAAAACAGAAGAAGTAAAAGGAAAAAAGAAAAGAAAGAGGAGACAATGACAAAACATTTTCAGTCTGCTTCATCACCTGTAACGAGATCTAAAAAGAACAGCACAACCGAAAGACATGGTACGAGACATACAATAAAGCAACACCTTGAAACTATCGCTGAAGTAGTATTATTAAATTTGACATGTACTCTGTGTTACTGTGAGCATCAACACTTTTGCAATCAGCTGTGTAAGTCCTACCTTTTTGTGTAAACCACATTAAGTATCAGAGGTTTATTTTTAATGCTACTCCTTTGACGATATTCAACTTTGTCATTGTAAGTGTAGTTTTACAGAGGAATTCTCTGCATTTAACCATCCCTTAAGAGGCAGTGAGCTCCTTGCAGCACCTGGGGAGCGTTCTGGTGCTAAGGGGCTTTTTGCTCCAGTCTGTGTTTGATAACGGTGATCGCCCAAGAATGAAAAAATCCTCCTATCTAACCTCTAGTCCAGCACTCTTTAATTTAATAAGATATTTATATTATGTGTTTCTAATAATTAAATGACATAACTAAAGACAGTGGTGCATTTAGTTTTCCGCATGTCAGCTTGTTTAACTAAATGCATGTTTTTCTCTGATGTGCAGCAGGAGGTTCATACTGGAATAAATCAAACTATGTGCTTCAAACTCTGGAGTCTACTTGGGAAGTTATTCACAAACTTTCCCCCTTTGTTTAATTTTCAGCCAATCAGACTTAGTTCAATTATCTCAAAATATGTTCACTTTAGGATAGGCTTATGTTTGATATTTACCACAAAAAAAAAAACATAATCAATGGTGTTCCTATATATTGATTGTCCACTGCAGTGTGTAGATAAGAGCAAGAGCCTCTGTTTTAATCTGTTTGTGTATGTGTGGGTTTGTTTACGTCTCTGTATGCCTCGTCCAGGCTTAAACTTATAAGCTGATTTGGCAACGTGTTTACAGAGATCTCGGTTTCAATCCGTCGGTGTTAGTCCTGTTACATCACCGCGCATTAGTAGTTGTATATGATTTCTGCACCCCCACATGTGCGCCCGTGCATATGTGAGCTGGGGCAGGGGGGTGTGGAGTTAAGGCCGCAGCACATGGAAACAGGCCGCCGACAATGACACACGTGCTTTCACCATGTGTGCGCCGCAGGCCAGACGCACAGACAGTAAGCAAGAGGCAAACGTAGAAACACACACCAGTAATTGCTGTTAAGGCATACTGAGAAAATATGTAACAGCAAGTATGCAAAATATAAAAAAAATGTTGGATATTTATATGCAATTGCCAATCAGATAAATATTTAAATCCAATCTAATTCCAAAGCATTTGAAATTTTATAAAAGTGGTTTTACACATATTTGCTTGATATTTTTAATAATTTTCTGTACAACAGGAATTTTCAGATCATCAGTTTAAACTATTAGCCATATTCCCAATGACCAATGATGTCCAATCCTGCTCCTCAGGGACCATTGCCCTGCATGTTTTAAATGCTTGCATGACCTCCTCAGCAGCCATAAAGTGCTACAAACGCCTGTTAATCAGTCATTCATATAAGTCAGGTGTGTGGCAGCAAGGAGACAACTCACACATGCAGGGAAGTGGTCTTGAGTTCTGGACGACCAAGTCTGAGCTAAAAAACTTCTGCTTAAATCAACATTTAGACCATTGAAAAAGTAACCCAGTTTGATGTTCTAACCCAGGGGTGGGTACTCCAGTCCTGTATCCTTGACATAACACACCTGAATCAAGTAAATAGAAAATTTTAAAAAATTATAATTAAAAGGACTCTGGAGAAATTTATTGCATACTGGGGAGGTAATTCAACCATTTGATTCAGGTGTGTTGGACCAAGGATGAATCTAAATGTTGCAGCAAACCGGCCCTCAAGGACTGGAGTTGCCCACCCCTGTTCTAACCTGTCAATGATTTCAGACACACATCCAACCTTCTTAAAAGCTGGATTACTCAGGAAGCTGCAAGGACTAAAAGTCTACAGATAAATAACCCTACAGATAACTTGTAGGCTGTACTGTGAAACCATATCTATGCCAAATTTAAAGCAGCTCATCCAAATATAACAAAAGTCCTTGAAGCTTGCTGATGCCTTGATATTAATACTACTTGCTAAAAGATATCCGTTTTAAGATTAGGGGGATTTTATACATGCATATCCTGTGTGAGTTTTTTACAAAATGCTACATCAAATAAAAAAAATTAACTTGAGATCCAACTTTTATTAGGGATCATTGAAATTATGTCTGGCTGCACATTGGGTAGCACCGCTGCCTTGCAGCAAGAAGGTTCTGGGTTTGATTCCCGGGGTCTTTCTGCAAGGAGTTTGCATGTTCTCCTTTTGCACGCGTGGGTACCCCGCCTCTTGCCCATTGAAAGCTGGAGATAGGCACCAGCACCCCTTGCGACCCCAGCAGGGATAAGCGTGATGGAAAATGGATGGATGGATGAAATTGTGTCATCATTTATTTTGTTTTAAATATCTTTAAAACGACACACCTCTTGTTACTTTAGCGCCCTCCAAGATGACATAAATGTCTCAGTACACCCGTCAATATTCATGTTTCTAAGATGATAATCCATTTCCTCCTATTCTGTTTATGCTTTCTGTGAGAACCTGTTGAAAAACCAGAATGGGACAAAGCTGGGAACCAAACGCACAAAAACACTAAACATAAAGTTACACTAGAGAGGAGGAAGTTTTGGAGACAGATGGGAGTCGATCCAGCGGAAGGATGCTCCACAGGGTTTCCATATCCTCCTCCTGTTTCCTATTAAATTAATTTCCTTGAACCTGTAAGCCTGTCTATTGAGCTACAAGTATGACATATCTGTTCTCCACTGTAGCGTTCCGTTCTATCTTTTCCATTATTGAACCCTGCATTCATCTCTAACATTGTTTTTTTCTATGCGTTTCAGATAAATCTGCGGCTCATTCTGGTCAGTGGGAAGACGAAAGAGTTTGTCTTCTCTCCCAACGACTCGGCTGCAGACATTGCCAAACATGTTTTTGACAACTGGCCAATGGGTGAATAGCTCTTGATTTCTTTCCTTTTATTTATTATGATGAAAGTTTTATACTAGTATTAAAAAATTTTATACAATATTTTAAGTGGGCTTCAACTGTAGCACCATTTCAGAGTTAGGCACTAAAACCAAATTTATTTTTTAAATCTTGATTTCAATGGTGTCATCTTGATTTTTTTTTTAAATCAAAGAGCTCATAATAAATAGGATCTTTGGACACATTGTGAGCAGTTTTGTTGCAGATAAGTTTTTTTCTCCATTCTTCCATTGAACAAATGAAAAAAAAACATACAAGATAAAATTTAATGAAGCAAACTTTCTTAGCAATAGTGATTCTTAGAAAGCTGTTAACTGAAACTTGGCACACAGCAGATGATCTTCCATAAATTACAGTATGCATCGCCCGGGCCCTCTGTCAGATGCAGAGGTAGATAAGAGTATCCAAAATTTGTACTCAAGTAAGAGTAACACTACTCTACTATATTTTTACTGAAGTAGGAGTAAAAGGGTAGCCATCCAGGAAATTACTCAAGAAAGAGTAAAAAATACTTGGTAAAAATTCGACTCAAGTACTAAATAACTCATCATAGTATCTGATATTTAAAATAAGATAAGAAACAGGACCAAATGTTGAGTGACTTTAAAAAATACATATTTTCAAATAACATCATAAAAGGATAAACAAAAAATTATTGAAAAATTACAATTTCAGGCAAAAGAAAAGTTTTTCCTAAGGTATTTTCTTTTAAACATTAAACTTATGAAACCAGGACCTCCAGTCACAATATTTATTCCTTACTGTAAAGTAGCTTGACCTCCAAATGTCATGGTGGGATCAAGTAAGCTTTTGTATAAATGAAATTGAACTGTGTGTCTTTGTCTGGGTGCTTAAAAAGAAAGGGAAAAAGAAGTGCTTGTTTTATGGTCGGTGAAGTTAAGGCCTGGTTATACTCCCAGCAGCAGTGTGTTGCAGTGAGCTTGTCGCAGATATTTTTAATTTATGCCCAATTCTGAAGCGTGGTCTGCTTCAAAATTTAGCATAAAATCATGAACTAGCTGTAGTTCTAGATATGACCGAGGTGGTGAGGAATTCGGGGCAAGTTTGTGCGACAACGGAGGGACATGAGGGCAAAAAAGAGCGGAGATCCAGGTGGTAAAAGGGTCCCAGTGTTCTCACGCACCTTGCTCTTCTAGCTGGTCCATCTTCACGAGTCGATTTCTACAATGGTGGTCATACAAACATAACATGCCGCTAGGGTTCCAAACAGGAAATAAGCATAGTATAGAGCGGATATAGATTTGACCAATCAGAGGCCTCCTGTCTGCAGCACTGTCTGCGGACAGCTACAATTTTGGAGAGGTGAGGCAGAGTGTCTGCGGAAGGGGCGGCGGCATAGTTGCGTTCACACGCAGACGACCTGGTTTCTGAGTATAAACCAGCCTTTACTCATGATGGATGAGTAGCCAGAGCTTTTACTCAAGTAGAGATATTAATATACAGCTCAAGTAAAAGTAAAAAGTATGGTGCTTTAAAACTACTCTTAAAAGTATATACCTTTATCAAAGAGCTACACAAATAAATCTAACAAGTAAATATAACTAGTTACTTCAAGACTTGGAGAATAAATGATTTAGTAAATGGTATTTTTTTTAGGCGTCCTTCTTTTATAAATATCCATTGGTTCCATTTCCCTCAAAACTACAATGTCAAGCCAAGGGTAGGCTTTTTGCAGACATTAGTGCAACAAAAGAAGCATTGATCTCATTATAAAATCATGTTGTCCTTTTATCAAGTCAAGAAGCTAGAATGATCTACCTAAAAAATCAGATGTGAAATTGGTTACTTATTTTTTTTATCTCTGATGTTGCTATAAAGCATGTTTATTTTTTGAAATTGATAACTTCAGGGAATGTTTGCTACTTAAAACTGGCAGGCAAAACTTAAAAGACAACCCAGAATTTCCAGAATTCTGTAGTTTAATAACAGTCAGAGGTCAGTACTGTAAGAATCAGTCAAGAGGGCAGAGGTAACCAAAAAACACAGAGCAGAGGCAGAGTCAGAACACAAAAAAAGTAAAAGAAAAATCCTCTAGAGGCTAGAAAGCTTGGAAAGAAATGGCTGAAATGCTTGCTGGAAACAAAGATGGACTGGCATGGGAGGAAGGAAACGGACTGCTTAAATACGCAGGAGGAGATGATTAAGGACAGGTGTGTTCAATCAGGCTGGCTTGGGTAGAGGTGTGGCAGAACACTTTTCACAGCTACTGGTTCACCATTCATGGTAAAGTTAATTACAAATTATCAGTTATAAATACTTGACAGGAAAGTTATTTAAAAATGACACACTGTAGTTTAGCTCTTGACAACAAAAAGAAATGAGCTTTTTATCACAGCTCCTTTTTACCTTCACTTAGATTTTTTTTTTGCTTAAAATGTGTTTAAATCCCGTCCTCAGGGGCTTGTGTCCCACATAGGTCTGTCTGTGCTCCTGACTACCTGATTTAGATAGTAGAATTACCTCATAAACATTGGCAGCAAGTTTCACAGAGCCCTTTTAATGGCCCCCAAATTTAAATGAGGTGAGCTGAAGCAGGAATGCATTTAAAACATGTAGGTCAGCCAGCCTGCGAGGACTGCCATCATCCGACACCACTGACTTTAAATTATCTCAAACCCTTTAGGTTAGCTTGATGTGGTTTTGTTATGCAGTTCAGCTCAGCTTGTTTTAGCAGCGTCACCACAATTTTAATTAGCCTGCCCTGGAAAAAAGCATTTTTCAACATTGGTTAGACTCTAAACAAATGAAAAAAAGCTGCATTTTTCTCAAGCATGATTATTTTTCCTTTATAGTCACCAAAACAAGCCGCATCCTCAATCATTACATGCAAATTATTGTCAAAAATTACAAAAATATCTTTCATTTTAAGATACATGGCAGATTGATAACTATATTGTTTGTCTTTGTGGTGAGATTTGCAACTTTATTTTAGAGGGTATAGCATTATTTTGCTACATAACACCAGGCCTACTTATCTAAGGAAATGTGACAATGAGGACTAAGAACAGCCAAGCTGTGATGAGCATTTACTTAATTTAATTTTGATGGGGTAGGATAAGTTGATGTGTTCAGAATGACTAGTATTGTGTTATTACTTCATATAGTGGTGCTTATGTTCGAATTATCTTTTAACACCCTATCTTTATGCCTTAGAAGTGGAGTTTGGGGCTGACTAGAAAGTTTCAGGAAGAGTGGGAGAAATTATCCATGGTCTCTATGGTCCAATTTCCTGCATATTTGTGATTTTTCCCAGTTTAAGCACATTTTATTTAACTGCATAAGCTCCTGTTAAGATCCTGGTTATATGGAAAAAATATTATTTAACAAAGTAATACAAAAAACAAATAAGAGTGCAGGACAGGAGAATGAATGGCCTTTATGGCCCAACAGAGAACAATAAGATGTTATCCATAACCTCAACCTCACAGTTCTAATGTATTTCTGCTGACCTCAAAAGTCACCTGTAGTTTCATATCCTGCTTGTCTGTTTTTGTTGTCATTTAAATGAAATGCTTTTTTTCTAAATAGGAGATTTAAAGGACAGGAGGAGTTTAAATGTTTTACTTTATTATTTGCTTAGTATGGGATGACATGTTTCAGCAGATAAAATCATCAAAATAGTGCATGAAAATTCACTACGAGTATTTCTCCAGATAATTACAGAATATTTTAGTCATGTGTGGTTTAAGTTTCTGTTCTCATATTAAATCCTCACATCTCTTTTTGAAGACTCTACAAATCAGCTGCACAGTTTTCACTTTTTTTCATTTCATTTGCTGTTTTTACATAAACTCATAGGTGGGTAGAGCACCTACAATTTGTACTCAAGCAAGAATAACACTAATTTGCAGTGCTGTACTTTAATAGTCCTTTTTAAAGGCAGGAGACTTAACTAAAGCGCTTTACACTATATTCAGTCATTCACCCATTGACACACACACTCATACTACATTGTAGCCACAGCTGCTCTGGGGCTCACCAACACATGCGAGGCTGCCGTACTCTGGCGCCAGCGGGCCCTCTGACAACCATCAGTAGGCAATGAAGGTGAAGTGCTATGCCCAAGCACACAACACTGAAAGCAGGGCTTGAACCGACAACCCTTTGATTTCAGCATCCAATGCCGCTGTTGCCCCTACAAGAAAAAGTAAAAGTAGAATGTAGCCATTCAAGAAATTACTCAAATAAGAGTTAAAAAAAGAACTTAGTAAAAAGGCCACCAAAGTACTGAATAACTGATCTACTTACTAGGCAAGACAAAGCAAGGGAAATTTATTTGTATAGCACAATTAAGTGCTTTACATGATTAAAATATAGGAAAATAAATCAGAATCAAAGCAAGTAGGAAAAAAAAATGCAGAAACAAAAAAGAACAATAAAAACAGTTGGACAATAACTGGATAATAAAGTTGAACTAATGGTGTTTCAGTTGAACTGTTTAACTAGAACAGTCGAAGGCAATCCTAAAAGAATGTGTTTTTCAGTCTTGATTTAAAGGACCTCGGGCTTTCCACACTTTTACAGTGTGGAAAGCCTGACTAGTCATGATCATAACATCTGATAGTTTTTAAATTGATGTAAAGTTACACAACATATAACTTTATAAACACATTCTGGTGTTTCAAAGAAAAAAATAATCTAAACATATAAAATACACTAATTACACAAAAAATATTTCATGCAGAAGAAAAAAAATCAAAATATATTTGCAAGTAAAAATGTTTTTGTTATAAAACATGGATTCAATAGTATAGTTTAGTCTATAAATTGGAATAGGGTAAGTTACTGTTTGACACAGCAGGATAAGCAGATAGAAAATAACATTGAAGACATAATAGGCTTGAATACAACATTAAAGTCTCACATAGGCATAAAGTGTAGGTGTGCGTCCCTTTGTTATATTTTTGTTTAAAAGATGCCGCCTCTTATGATGGGTGGAGTATCCAGAAATTTTACTCAAGTAAGGGAAATTATACTTTCATATTTTTATTCAAGCAAAAGTGAAAAGTACAATGTAGTAAAACTGCTTTTTTGTAAATGTAATAAAGTAAACTTAACTAGTTAATATCTGCCCCTTCATAGGCTTATTAGTTTGGCAGACTATTGTATTGGCTAAGAATATTTTCTACGTTCTTCTGTTTAAGATGAGTGAGAATCTCTGTGTTAGCAAAATAAGATAACTCCTTTACCAGGATTATAGTATCTAAATAATACCATCCACCCTCTAAATGCTGCTGCTGGACCATAGATGGAATGCATTTGAAACACTCCTGATCCTGAACTTAACCAAATGTGGAGTTTTCCCACAGTGCTGGGGGTGCAGTGCTGTTCTTGAGGGTGTGGGTTAGCCAACCGTCCAAGGAAAAAGAAAATATTCCCAGATGATGTTGGATTCTCCTGGAGTTTTCTGTTTGGGAAGCGCCCTGTGTTCCTCCCAGACAACAGATCATCCGGTTAGCAACAACACCCTCGATTCAGCAAGAGACAAACATCTGGTTGCCAGACTGCTGCTGTGAAACCCCCTCCACGTTTTTCCCTTATAATGCTCTTTCAGTTCTTCCAAATCCACACCTAAGGCTCCTCTGTTAGCGCCTTTCCTACTACTGTGCTGCAGCATATTTCTTAAAGGCAAATCATTTATATTTTTCAGAGAATAGATCAATTAAATAAATGCAAACATGTAACATCTTAAGCTGTTTTATGACTGTGAAAAGCATTGATTGCCATTTCCTTGTAATTTTCTTTTGCTGGAGTTTTTGCCTTAACAAGTACTTCCTAGGTTCACATGAAATGTGATTTACAGGGTTGGAAAATTGGACAAATAGTGGTGAGGTTTTAAATAAAGAAGCATTTAGAGAAGAAATGTAGCACACAGGGAGATATTTCCTTTCATTTCAACCCATAATGTTCCTTTTTTTTCCATCTGTCTTATTTTGTTTCTGTCAGACTGGGAAGAGGAGCAAGTCAGCAGTCCACACATCCTGAGGCTGATCTACCAGGGACGTTTTCTACACGGCAACGTAACACTAGGAGGTGAGAAAGCACCAGAGCTGCAGGCGCCCAGGGAAAAAGCCCTGGCGCTTGCAGGCGTACACATTGAAATTACAGCATTTTGCTGCTGGAAACCTCTGCTGTTGTCGTCTTTTTTTTCCTGAGCATCAGAACTGAGATACATCAGTGCTCTGGACAAGCATTGTTTGATAGAGGGAGGGAGTGAAAGCGAGGGCGAGGGGAGTGATCAGAAAAAAAGTAGACTTTTAGCAGGAGAGAGAAGAGAACAGGGAGCAAATAGAGCTGTAGAAAAAAAAACACTTTTATCACCCATTTTTTTAAATTTTCATTTGTTTAAAACAAAAATTCAAGCAAGAGTTTCTATAACACTTTCCTTAAAATCCTGTTTCATCGGTTTATCATGTTTTTTTTTCCGTGTGCGTGCAATGTCAAAACGACGTTATGAATTTCTCCTAATTTTAGGGAAAATGATTTTCCCTCATAGGGTTTTTAAATTGCAAACACAGACATTATTATGCGTGTGGTTTGCCCAGACAGATTTTTGAATTCTCAATACAACTTTAAGATAGTTATTCTTACTTGTAAGAGTCAGGACCAGAAACTGGGTCCCGAGTCCTTACAAATGTGCACTTGTCTGTGAAAGAAAATTGTGTGAATTGTTTATACAATTTACAGTAGGTGACAATATTTATGGTGACCAAGGGGTGGAAAATGGTGTGTGAATGCATCATTTCACACCAAATTCAAAAGGTCCTGCAAACCCAATAATGAGACTGACACAAAAAATGCTCCAAAGGAGAAATGCTGCAATCGCAGAAAAGCATTCATAAAATTATAAAGTATAATCTTAAGATAATTCTGCAAGTAGGAAAAAAATAGCATAACTCTCTACATAATAGAAGCACTCCAGATCTCTGGCGGAGACAATCATGATGTCATATGGGACCAGAGCCAAAGGCATAAACGTGGGTGCTAGGGCCCAATCCAAACCGGCTCTTAAAAATTTGGGTGTTAATGCTGAGCACTCATGCAGAGGGATACATTAAGGGCCATCCCAACCCGTGTAGTGGGTAGGGCCAGTGGACCATTCAGCCCTTAAATACTGAGTCTGCATCAGTTGCAGGCTCGCTGAAGTTCGGCAGCAGGCGTAACAGCAGCCTGTAGGTTCCACTGATTTGCTGCATCTTCATCACACTGACTGAAAATCACAAGTAGTATATATATATATATATATATATATATATATATATATATATATATATATATATATAAAATATAATATAATTAACTCCAATAGGAAAGTTACTCTTTGAAATGGTATGGTTTGGCCATATACATTTGTTTTAAGAAAGGGGCAAATGTTCGATTTTATGTCACCCTGCATCACAGAGCTAAAGCCACACACGGGGCGTCACCGTGTTACCATAGATATGACGGATTTCCTTTCCCTTTGGAGGGAAGAAGCCATCCCATTCTCATTTATACCCCCCCACCTTTGATCAAGGCGTCTTCCACAGCTGCAAGTGTGACTTCATTGGGAGTGACCCTGATAGTTAAGGGTTAGTGCTTAGGGACCCGTTTGGAATTCAGCCTAAACACTGCCCCTACAAACAAGCCCTCTGTTCGCCTGTTCCAGCAGAGGCTCCGTCTTAAATAGCGTCTGCATAAGTGAAGACTTGCTGGAATTTGCCAGTAGGTGTTACTGCGGACCACTGGTGGAGCAAACATCTGCATTTAGATGTATAACTTACACTGGTTTTCTGCACCTTTGTTTTTTTCCTTCTTTTATTTAAATCCCCACTTAAGGTACTTAATGGTTAAAACAAAATAGCAAGAAAACAATAAAATAAAGATAAAATGATAAATAATAAAAAACCCAAAAATTTAAAATTAAAAGCTAGTTACAAAATTAATGTGTCTATTAAAGACGTTTAAAGTCATTAAAGCCTTTTCATTACCAGACTCTGAGATTTAGAGTTTGAGGTCATTTATAAAGAAACAAAAATGTGATTTCCTTTAATTTATTTTGCTTTTCTGAATATTTAACATTGCTAACAGCAGAATCAGACCTCTTTACCTTGTTGCATCTATAATTCCAAAAGGGAAGGTCGTCTACAAAGTAACTTTGTTTGACAGTATAAATAAATGGGCAAATATTTGATTTCATCTCAGCTCTCTGTGTTGCCGTGACAAAGACGGCTTTCCTTTTTCTGGTGGAGGGCATCCCATTCTCATCCGCACCCCCAACGCTTAATCAAAGCACCCTCTACAGCTACGAGAGTGATGTCATTGGTAGCGACACTTGATAGTAAAGGAGTAGTGCATAGCGGGAGTAAACTTCCCTTCTCCTCTCCAGATGCTCTCTGGATAGCACCCTGTTTATATTTTCACTAAGGATCTGGTCCATAGATACTAATTTATAGTAATGTTCATGCTCTGGTCCTATAAGCATCGATGATCGTCTAACTATTGCAACTAAGTCGTAAACATTTACTGGGCAATATGGGAAGCCCTAAAGATTAGAAAGTCCCAGCTGGTGGGACAAAGGATCTATGTTAGAGCTGCGCTGTGCGGCTAGGGTGCCGTAGTCTTTCACCCTATAATAGCTTCATAGATGTATTAAATAGGGTTCCCCCTTTGTCATTTGGGGTTATAAAGTTCTCAAAGCCAGATTAGATCAGATCCACTAATTGTTTTATCTGGTATTTGCTCAAAATAAGACAGACACACAATATAGTATAAAGTTCTTAAAATTCACATCTTATATTTGCTTTAATGAGTAAATGTAGGAAAAACTGTAACATTCAGTTGATGAGATTTCTTCTCTATACATTTATATATATATATATATATATATATATTCTCTATAAATTATATATTTTTTGTTTACACTTTGGCGGTTTTCTAATGACTGAACATTGAATTCAAATTGAAAGCAAATCATTAATAAATAACTAAGTGTTATATTAAAGGCCATACATATACACAGAGCTAAAGAGAACCTGAGTCTATCGATCAGCTGCGCTATCTGAATTCAGAATGAAATTATTTATAATTCAGCCTCAGATAGACCTGTCAGTCATTTTTGTACAGTACTTGCAGAACCAGCCTAACGGTGCTGCACAACCTTTCAAGTCTTTCTTTTAATTTGTAATCAGCCCTGGGAGCTCATTGAGGAGTGAAATGATACTGATGTTGCATGACATTGCACTGACTGAAAATGACCTCTACCTCCTTCTTTTTTCCTCTCACCAGCTCTCAAGCTGCCTCTGGGGAGGACCACAGTGATGCATTTAGTTGCCAGAGAGACTTTGCCTGAGCCAAATTCCCAAGGTAACCAGCTCTTCATCTCCCTTGTTTCCATTCAGAGAGCTTTTCCACAAGCTGAACAACTTTCAAATGTTCCGCTCCCAGCCATGATTTATTTCTACACATGGCTTCTGTTTCAGGAACAGCCAGCAGTGCAAATAATTGGCTCCTTTAGGCTTTCCCCCAGACACTGATCATTGTTCAGATTATGCCACTGATATAAATCATATAGGCTGACATGTTTCCCCTGGATTATTGTGAATTGGACCCAACAAATGTTTGTAATACATCACCAGGAGTGAATCTAATATTTTTTTCTGCCAATTAGCTGGAATCAGAAAGATTTTTAAAGAAAAACATCACAATTTATTAAATAATTTTTGATCATTTTTTTACTCTGAATTTGTAGGAAAATGTAAATGTAATGGTTATGATTTTATGGGGAACTTTAGATGATGAGTAAATTACCTCATTTTTATAAGGTTGTAAAATGATTTCAATCTAACCACTATATTTTTTGTTGTTGTTTTTTTTACCTCGATGAAGCAACTTTTTGAGTCCTCTCTGGTTTTTTAGCTTGGATGGTTTATAAAGAGCTACCAAACTGTTTCTTAAAATGCTGTTTTTTGGAGACCCTTTGTGCTGATTTATTGTTTGTTCATTATATGATAATATGAGTGTGTTTGTGTTTAGGTCAAAGGAATCGAGAGAAGACCGGAGAGAGTAACTGCTGCGTCATTCTGTAAATACACACCTGCGCCGTGACCCTCCGTTCTTCAAGTCCGTTCATGCCATCAATGTCCTGGACCCGCTGGGCTTGTCCTCTGTCCTGGAGCCTGTCCGTCACCCGGATGTACACCTAACCCACCCACAACCCACCCCCCTGCCACAACTCACCCCTTCAGACACATATACATGTTAAATAGGATGACAGTAGGCTCAGGCTAATCCGAGACAGAACTGGGGAGCAGGAAGTTGATTAACAATAGAGTTGATTCCTATGCTGTACTTGATTTGTTGTTATAACTGAATAGTAGCGGAAGGAACTGGATTTGCATGTTATTTTTTTTTCCTTTTATCTTTCCTTCTTTCCTAAGCCTTCTGCCAAGCATTGTCACTCCTCTCCTCGCCATCTTTAGCTGGTCTGTGGGGTCACTTTCTAGATGACTTTGACATGTTTGCTCCTCGTTGCAACGTGGCGGCCAAGTTTATGTTTGTGGCCTTGGTATCTCATACAGACCGGCTGAGAGTTTTAACCACTAAGCTCATCGGAACCTAGGTGTGATGCTGGGCGTAAAACCTTAGGTGTTTGTGTGAAAGCACCTCAGTGCGGCAGATGAAGCATTAAACGTGCCTGAATAGAGGACTCAAACTAAACTCGCTCACTAAAACAGATGAACACAACTGTGTCCTTTTTAACTGCCCTCCTCTACATGTGCCCTTAAAGGTTGCAGGACAGATATCCGACCTGTACAGTTTTAGCCAAATGAAGCCTAACAAGCAAACAACAAACCAGTGCTAGTGGTCCTTTGTCTTTGGAGACTGGGTTCTTACAGTCTGTGTATTAATGACCAACTGAGCTGGTGATTTATTAAGCATTGTGTGAACTTTTCTCCCTCTCCTGCAACATCCCCCTTTTCCTGAACTTTCCATCAGTGTTGTGAAGGATCTCTCTGAGACGTCACTTTAAGTTTGAAAAGGCTCCCTCCTTGTCTTACTTCTCCTTCAGGATTAATACGTCTATTTTGCACAACAGAAGCATGTGCTCTTTCATCAGATTAATGCAAATGTATGAAATAGTTTTATTTTATGTTTCCAATGGAAGTAATGTTCCAAACTAAGGTTACCACGTGTAGAATATATTTAATATGAATCTTTATCTAGAACATTGAGATTTTAGATCTTGGTGATATTCATGATATTGGTGTTTAGTCTATGATTGTGTACGGTTAGCTACTAGCCAGTTCACAGTCACTTGGTGATGACGTCTTTGTGTTTAACAGCAGCAAAGCCTCCCTAATCATTCATTCATGGACTGATGGGTTTATATTCTCTTTTTCTGTCGAGGTTGTTTTTTTTTCATTTGTTTATAATTTAATGTAATCCTTTTTTGTGGTTTTTTGCTTTAAAAAAATTTGCTTTGTAACAGCACTAGGTCTTAAAGAATATTGTTTATATTGATCAGGGTTCAAATCTGTACAGAGAAAAAAAAGGTTTTGAAACCAATTGTAAATAGCACTAATGCTCCTTCTCCCCACTCCTTCAAATCTTCAAAATGGAATACATCTGTAAACTAAATAAAGGTTATTGAAGTGCACTTTGTTCTGTCATGGCTCATTGCCCATTGACTGCTGGTTATAAACAGGTAACCTCTTTCTAGAAAACACTGGAGTTTGTTTTGAGTTATCTTTCAGTATTTAGAAAGTATTTAAAACTGAAATAAGAGTATGGAAATAAAAACACGATCTGTCCATTCAGCTACTGTCCGCTTTCATCTGTTTACACTTTCCATACATCCACCCTTTTAACCATCTCTCCACCCATCTATTTACTCTTTATCTTCATTTTCCTGTATTTGAATCCTGACTTCTTCGGAAATATTTAAATCAAATGTATCTTAATTTGCATTATTGGATTTATACTGTAGAAAATTAGCTAAAAGCTCTGCAGGAATGCAAATGAAGGTGTGTAGAATTATGTCATCAGGGTGTGATTATCCTCTAACCTTTGGTTGTATCCTTTTAACACACCTGTATTACCCATTTAGCATTACTTGATTAGCTGCGCAGAGGCCTGATAAGAGCCTTTCATTTCATTAAGGATGCATCTAAAAGATGCAAAATTGTAGATGTGGATCTGAATGATGTTTGGCACCCTTAAAGACCCTTGACTGTTGCTTTGTAAAATATAAAATAAAACTAGTGCTCTCATCATGACGCTTCAGATGTAAATTTAAAAGGCTGTTTACTTCTCTCTTAAAGCAAAAAAATTAAACAAAGAGTTCATTATATATATATATATATATATATATATATATATATATATATATATATATATATATATATTTGTAATTTCGGAGGGACTTTTTTCATCTCCATACAATCTTTTATTATTTAATGGCATATCTGTTAAGAAGTGTTTTGCTATTTGGACTCAGATATTTTTGTCATTCTACCTCCAAATACGTCATTTAATTAACATTTTGATATTTTAACAAAATATCCTGCAAAATGGATTTCCCTTTTTAACTAAATTATTACATCTACTTTATTATTGGTTACCTATAAATGCATTGGAGAAACATTTACATTAATACAAAGTAATTTCACAACACTCGATAATTTCATCCATCAGTCAAAACCATTGTTATACTTAGTCTTTCTAAGTGGTGGGTATTTTATGTTTACAACTCCAAAATCTGGGGAACCTGCAGTTAAGCTCACAATGATATTTCTCCTCACTAAACTTCAGTATTAAACATAAATTCCAAATTTTTCTTCTGGCTGGAACCTAGGGTTTTGAAAAGGCCCAGCTAGAGTTCAGATACTATCTGAGGCTGATGGCGAGGAGATCTTTAGACCTTACCAAAAAATGAAACATCCTATGAGAGAGCATGCAATAATCTTCTGATCAAATGTTGAAAGCCTTGTTTTGCTTTAATAAAATATACACATTAGGATTATTGCAAAAAGGCTATATATTTTTTCAATGGAATAAAATAGAGAAATAGTTTTTTTTTTCCTGTATTAAAAAAAAAACACTCTTTGTACTGTCCTGCTATCTTTTAGGAAATGTTTGTGTTGTTTCCTACCAGAAACAAACTTTGTGGTTCATTGAAAGGTACTTTGGCTCATCCAGCCCCAAAAATACAATTACTTTACTTCAGAAGAAATACATCCGTGTTAAAAATTACTTTATATTTCCCAGGATTATAAATACGCTTTCATTAGACTTACTATGAATATAAACTAACAATAAAGATATTTAATTAAAGTTTTGGCATTTCATTCCTATTCATTCCTATAATATTTATAAACTGTAAGGGAGAGATGTTACATTATTTTAGGTCTTTAACAAAAACCCAAATCACAGAAATTTTGCCCCTAAATTTTTATTTAATTTAGATTTAATCTGTAAAAATCGACCCTCTTTATCTTTCTTAGAACATATTACTCAACAAGAAATGACACCATAAGCAAACTGTTGTGAATTACTTTGAAAATTAGTCATTTATTTACCCCACTCAAAATGTAAAGCATAATCTTAAGGAAAAACTGTAGAAATGTGTTTGCACCCGTTAAAGCAGGATATCTGAATGTAGAGAACTGGGTGTAGTGTTGTTTTTTGTGTCGTCATTATGTCCGTCTAACCTGGGAGGAAATAAGAAATCAGATTAAGTTAAGTTGACCTCGGCAGATGGACGCTCACACTGAGCCTGGTTCTGCTGGAGGCTTCTTCCTGTTAAATGGGAGTTTTTCCTCTCCACTGTCGCTACAAGCATGCTACTTGTGAAGGATTGCATTCGAGTCAATGAGTCAATCAGCTGGTTTTCTTTAGATAGAAAACAGTGAATCAATCTGATTGTATTATCTGGTTGAATTGGGGTGACTTGCTTTGTGACTTGGCACTATATAAATAAACTGAATTGAATCGAATTAAGTTTTTCCTGCTGAAAAGACTCTGACAAACTACTGATGAGGGAGTGGGATGACCAGGATGACAATGCGGAGATGGTGGGGCAGCAGAACCGTTTACTCGTTTTGCCATAAGGCTAACCTGTGTAAAACAATTGCAAAGCTTGTTTTTTTCCTGCTGGTTGTGTTTACACTCCTGTTCTTTGGACAACAGGCTGGATTTTTCTACAGCTGAGAGCAGACGTGCAGCATGTATCCCAGCACTTAAGAGACTTGTGTGTTTTTATTTCCACCACCTCAGAAGTAACATCATTAGCCACTAAATGTTTGTAAAGTGCAAGTCGGTTTGAAGCCTACAACATGTATATGACAACAGTGTTGACTACTTTAAAATCTATTCCTGATACAGTGACAGATATTTGAGTGAAAATTATGGAGACCTGAGTTAGAGAACAGTTGGTGACCATGGAGACTGAGTATAGGCTAGAGGATGTATATTACTGACTTATGCCTGGTATACTTTCTTAGTCATACTAAAAAAGCAACTTGTGACCAAAGATAAGCTGTGATAAATATCTGACAGTGTCATATAAACGGAACGGCTACCTCATGGTCTGACAGCTGCTAATCAGCCAAACAAATGGACAGTTGTCATCTGAAGTAGGCCTACTCTTCTAGTAAGTAACATTACAAATAGCTTGTCTTTGTCTCTTTATTTATTTATTTTTTTTTTGCCAAATGTACAAGATAAAAAATTGATTGGAGTAACCAATGTTATAGACATTAAATACTCAAACATACATAACAAGAACATATTGCCAACTATTTTTCAAACTAGTGTCCAAAGTTTGCCTCTTTGCCACAACTGCATCCATGTACTCCTCCTTTTGTTCACATATCTTTCAATTCACTTAAATTGAATTAATGGTCTTCATACATTGTGAATGAAATAGCTTTAAACATCCGCATCCTCAATGGATTGTTCCAAAATGTAAAAAGGCTGCTGCTTTTGCACATGATTTTATAATTCACCATCCTTAGTGTTTATTATTCAAGCCAATAAACACTTGAATAAATCTGCATTTTCAAGAGATGATTCCGTTGATCATGACTTAGTGGGAGTAGAATTTTTGCTCCAAACCCTTTTAGCAAGAAAAACTGGTCCTCTGGTTGTTTGGTACTGTAGCAAAAAAACAAAACAAAACAAAATAAAAAGCTTGAGGTGTCTTATCATTGCTGAACCTGTTGCTTTAAATAATGATTCATATCCAGGTATTTATTTATTTGGCCTTAAAAGCACAACTTTAACAAGTCAGTAATGTGAGGTTATTTATAGTGTTTATCTGATTGCTAGGAGACATGATGAAGAAAAAAAAAATGCCTTGGAAAATGCCAATGTTGTTCGTACAACATACAAAAAAATTACATTAGAACTTTGTTGATATTTACTTTTTACCTTTTTTCTTGCTGTCAAAGTTGAAGATTATTTACACTCAAAACATATATATATACATAAACACAACACTTTTGGTTTTGCTCCCATTTTTTATGAGAGAGCTTAAACGTCTCGTCTAAAACTTTTTCCACATACACAATATAACCATTTCCCTCAAATGTTGTTCTGAAACCAGTCTAAATCTGTGATAGTGAGCATTTCTCCTTTGCTGAGATAATGAATCCCACCTCACAGGTGTGCTACATCAAGATGCTGATTAAACACCATGATTAGTGCACAGGTGTGACTTAGACTGCCCACAAAAAAAGCCACTCTGCGTGTTTTATTTATATTTTGTTGAGTGTACTATAGTAAAGTCCTCCATTTTTGTGTTTTAAAGGGGCCTAGTCACATTTTGTGCCTATAAAAATACACCACAAACCATATTTCTACATCAAAATAAATCAATATATACCTGCTTACCTTAAGTTTATCCTTAGAGTGTTTAACTGGTCTGTTTCCAGCCTAAAAAAATATTTTTTTTGCACTCTGCATGTTCAGAAAACATAAAGGTTGCTGTACTTGCTTGCCATCTGCTGGCAGTTCAGCTTCAAAGGCTTTAGCTCCAGCTTAAGTGAGTCCCAGTGTTCATATTTCACTCATGTTTCATCCCTCTTGGCATCTAATTATTTTTTTCTCTCTTACATATTTTCATTAACGTTTCTTTACACCTCTGCATTTTCCATGCAGAGGTGTAAAATGAATCATTACTTCATTGTTTACAAGTTGCATGAATGCAAAATATTAAATAAAAGAAAATGCTTATGTTTTATCAATATATAAAACAAAACTGTGTAATGTAAAACGAAACTATTATATCATTAGCCAAAAGGGCAAAAATATTTGTTGGTGTAGAAATTCGTAATGCCATAGTACCTAATTAATTTCCTTTAAAGAATTTTTGACTTTTTTTAATAAACTGGTTGGTAACTAAGATGCAAAATGGTTGACAAAGTTTTCATGTGCGACAGGAGTTGCATTCCTGGTCTTGCTTCAAATAGCTTTGTTTTAAGTTTACCTTCTTATCAGATAATTTAGGAAACAGTATTGTAAGGTTGAGCTTAGTCGTGTGAAGAGCATTTTATGAATTACTATGTGAGTATGAGCAACAGCATCTTAAAGAGAGGCCTTTGACCCTGACTCTTTAGTGCGGATTCAGCTTGGATAGAAAAACCTCAAACTTCTGCTTTAATTTTTTTCTTTTTTGCTGTCAGGTTTTGTCCCATGTGCTCACTAAGCAGAGCTATGCTGACCAGAGTACATCTCAGGCTGCCTTCCTGACAGCTATTTTTGCAAACATGTAATGCTTCTCAACCT